CACTCTGCATAAAAATCTCCCAATATTTTTTCTGAGTGCATCATTCTAACAGTTCAAAAATTTCAGCTTCATAGAATTACATACTTCTTTTAAGTCCCTTTATTAAACAAAGTCTAACCACTAGATGCACTGGGTACACATGACAGTGACTGAGACATCTGGTCAAGAATGACAGAATGCCAACTGCTATCTACAATAGCTTCCTTGTCTTCTTCCTTTATACTCCATTCCTGGAACTTTCATCTTCAATAGTCAATTTTAAATCAATGTTCTGTCTAGACATGACTGTTACAACCTAACAGAATTAAATCTACAACAGAGGAACTCTAATGTGGGCCCATCAGTGGCAATAAATCCACTCACAGGTCTGGTCAAATTTTGGCTTAAACAGACAATGAACGAAGGACAATAAGAGATTGTTAAAAGGCAGCAAAGAGTTAGAAAAACCTTGAATATGAAAAAGAAAATAGGAACAATTTGAAGTTCAAACCAGTGATACACACTACTCAAGTATGTGTGATAGTCCAAAACCCAGCAAATGAAAGAACAGTGGGAAAGACTATGAAGGGACTGGAGATATGGTTTAGCATCAGAACACTGGCTGCTCTTCCAGAGAACCAGTGTTCTGTTCCTAGCACCCACGTAAGGCCAACAGCTTGTCTATAACTCCAACTCATGTACACATAGTCACATATAGACACACACACACATCAACATATAATTAAAATAGTAAAAATAAATTTAAAATAAAGACTATCTGATCTCAAACATCTTAAATTCTCTTGAATAATATAGTACCACATATTTTAATTCTGTAATTCTCATCTTGCCTGACTAGATTAAGTTTTTAAAACCCAGAGTTCAAAACATGGTAAACATCTATTAATTAAAATCAAGATTTAAACCTAAAAAGTACAAAAGTCTTTAAGGGACTGTAGAATATTACTTGATGTGTTTTAAATGAGTGTAATGATAACCAAAAGCCAGCTAATTGTTCTCAAGAAAATTACACAATCAATAAATCACTTTCAAAATTTTTAAAGTAAACAAAAGAAATATTCCTTTTCAAATAACGAACTTATCTAACCCTAACACTTATACCTTGGAATTATTCAAGAAAAGCATTCATTCTTATCTATATGATACAAAACTTTTTAGATACCATGTTTAGCACACACTGCCCACAGCCATGCAGTTCCAGAATTTCAGTAAGAAAAGGAACGGTCCTAGAAGGAGAGAATACCAGACCAAAACTAAATATGGCTTAACATGATACCCCGGGCAACTATTAATCATGTCCATGAACAAGGGTCTTCATGAATAGTCAGAATAGGTCACTAAAGACTTCACTCACAACTGGCAGCAAAATAGCATAAATGACATATCAGGATGAAATAATATATAATGAGAACTTATTTTCTGAATTCAATCACATTCTAAATGTAAACGATAATGAAAACTTACAACAGAGTCACTTGGCGTTCACCAATATCCTGCACTAGTAAAACTTAGATAACTGACTTTGATGGGAGGGAGCCCATAGCTCTTTCACTAACTTATCAATGGTTTTTAAGCTTTAGAATTTAAAAACTGGTTTCTCAATCTGAGCACTGCTCACAATTTGAGATAGATAATTCTTTGTTGTAGTAGCTGTCCTGTGCAGTGGAAAAAGTTTAGCAACATCTCTGTCTTCTACCCACTAGGTGCCAATTAAGCATCCCCTCCCCAGTTTTGACAAATAAAAAATTTCTCCAGATGTCTCTCTTGAGGAAGAGAGACAAAAATCACTCCAGCATGAGAACCACTAGCTCAGATCATAAACAGGAAAAATTTCAAAGTGGAATGTGGGAGGGAGAATTTGGTTTGGTTTTTCATCTAGTCTGTATGTTTCACCATATTATACTGGGATTTAACAGCATACATGTAAGAGGTTTCTACTTTTAAGAAACAAAGCACTTGGCTGCAGAAGCAGTTTGTTACTGGGCTGCAGAAGCAGTGTTTGCTGCTCTTCCAGAGGACCAGAGTTCAGTTCCCAGCACCTACATTAGACAGCTCATGACTAATTCCAGAGGATCTAACACCTCTGGCCTCCATGCATTTATATGCACATACCAACCCACAAGCAGACACACACCTACACATAATTCAGACCAGTAAAAATAAGTCTCTGCTTTACAAAAAAGAAAAGAGACAAAAGAAAAAACATTATTATCTATGACTTCCTAGCCAACATTCAGAAGTCCTAGAAGACTGTACTATCAGCTCTCCCTCCAACAACACAGTGATGCCTAGCTATCAACTCTGTATTTCTGCTTCTTTCATGAATAACCATACTGTTACCAGTTCACACACAATCCAAAAGAATCTTCAACCTCAGACAGTCAAATACCACAGGACCTTTAGTACCCTAGGTAGGATAAACCTCAGTATTGGGCAATGTTAAATTCATCCTCACATTTTTACAAATTGTAAGAAAACACACAAACTAGCCATGATGCTTCAAATAGTAGAAAGCAGATTTGTGTTTTGAAACAGACTCTGAAGAAGGATAAAGAGGAATAAAAATTAAAAATCGTAGGGAATCTGAAGGCATTCCAGGATGAGGGCAAAACTTAAAATGTTTCTCCTGGAATGAGAGCAAGGAGGAAATTATACACTTGGCCATATCCTACAGGAATAGTCTGCATAATCAGTCTCCATAGCACATACCATGGGATGGAAGCTGAAAAAAACCAAAGTCTAAAAAACATTTAAAAACCAGCAACCATGTATCCTTCCTGAACACCTAGCATAAACACATTCCTCACTACTACTGTTTCCCATTTGATTTTTTTTTAAGTCAGATACCCAGAAACAGACTGGTAATTTAGTAAATTACTTAATTCTAATAAAAATAGCCACCCTCATCTTCTAGTGCCAGATTACACATTACACAGAAAAATCAATTAGAAGATACCACACACACACACACACACACACACACACACAGAGAGAGAGAGAGAGAGAGAGAGAGAGAGAGAAAGAGAGAGAGAGAGAGAGAGAGACCTTTTAAGAGTGCATTTGATTCCTGACAAAGTCCTTTTTTAAAAAAATAGGCATTTTAAACACAAAGTCACTTTCATGTATCAATACAGATTAAAGCTTTTCAAATTATTTCAATAGATTATTTATATGTTTCATAACAGCAGAACTTCTCAACCTCAAAATTTTTGCTATTAACCTGGGAGCCCAGTGAAAATAATCATAAAGGGAACTACTGCTCAGTTCTTTTTACTCCCAAGCCAAGCAGAAGAAGCTGTAAGATCTGTAGTGTCAGCTTGCTTTTCCAGGAGTGATACCTTGGGGCTGCTCAAGAATAACCTCCCTCATCAATTAATGAGACTCAGGTGGGTTTGAAAAAGAATAATGTCCACAGTCCTTGGTCAGTGGCCATGATGCCCCTCCTCCTCAAGGGCAGATCAGAAAAAAAGGCGACCTGAGCAGGAGTTTACCAGCTAGATACATAGATGGGGGGGGGAGCACTATGTGGGGGGAAAAACTACATGGTTAAGTCGGTTCAGAAAAGCAAGATGTTTAACATTATCAAAGCTTCCATTCATTTCAGACACCATTGTTTAGCTTGCTCTCTAAACCAGCACAAAAAGAACTGTCCGCCTGCCTTAAGCATGTTCCTTCTTCCATTTAAACAGACATGATTCTTTTGGTTAATCTCTGGCAATGATCGCCATTTCACAACACATTCAGCCCACCCGGAACTGATCAATACCACTACAGACATAAGACTAGACTTTATCCATTTATTAACCACAAGGAAATGTACCATTCAGCAAAATTCTATACATTACAAAAGATTCTATTAAAAGGGGGTGGGGTAGGGAAGACAGACAGACACACACACAACAGAGAGGTACACAAAGAAAAGACTAGCACCTTCTAATCTCCCTGTGACATAACGAGGGAACAGCACAACCATGAAACCTGTCAATTTGTCCCCCACCCCTCTTCCTTGCCACAACCTAGGAAGTATACACTGAATATTTATAATGAATGCATTCACTGTGACTTTTAAACTGTTTCATCCCTCGAACTAACTCTCCTGCTAAGTGCATCTGCACACCTTTCAGCTAGATGTATGCATTTTCCAGAATTTCAAGTACAAAAGCCTAGTTTTTCCAACCACTGGTTGCAACCATACAATATCTTCACATAATCAAATTTTCGGATATAAAATGGCCAGAGTATGCTCCTAACCTTGAGCTAAAATACAACTCACAAGAATAGCATATTAAACATGAGCACAATTTCACATGCCCTTTTCTAAACTGAAAACAATGTGTCGGTACAAAGCGTTTAAAAGAAGTATTCCGTAGGTAAGCAGAATCTACGCCTGAAAAGAGCACGCAAATGGTGGGTGAAAGCCAGCACACACCAACACACAGCAGCATACCTCTCCTGCACTGGGTTATGGTTAATACTCCAGCAACTATAACTATTTTTAACACTACTGGACAATGAAGTTGGAGAAGACGTGAGACGAGACCTAGATTAAATCGCTGATAGGATGCATTGTTTCTCACAGTCAAAATTAAACACCAGCTCACTTGATCTATGTCTCGATATTCACCGGTGAAGCACTAATTAGATGATGACCAAAACCGGTCCTTGTTTTGGAACAGCTTAGGCTAAATGACATTTCGGAATACCTCCTTCTGGGTCTCAAACCTTTACATAAATTTTCACTTGTGGTATTTGCGGCTTAACAGCAACCCAACCAGCGCTGTCATCGAGTGTTAAGAGCCACAAACCATGACTTTCTCACTTGCACGACAACACAGCACTCAATCTATCAGTTTGCCAAACCAACCCAAAACAAGTGGAATTCATGGAGATTTCCAGATTTGTCAGGGCTGCGGGGTCAGGCGCGGGAAAAGCCTCGGCCCGACAACTGCCCAGCCGACGGCAGCTGGCCACAGCCCCGCCGCGGCGGCTCCTCCACCTACCTGAAGAGCAAGAGATAAGAAAGACGGCGAACGCCAACTTTGCAGCAGCTCCCATTTTCCCGAGGCGCTGGAGAAGCCGTAGAAGTTCTCGCTAGATATCCAGTTCCCTGGGTCTTCCTCGGAGACAAACCTCCTGGTGTAAAATCAACCGTCATAAAACATATTCGGAAGCCCCGAGGCGGGGGGAGGGGGGAGCAAAAAAAAACGTTCACAGGGTTGAAAAAAGGAAAAAAAAAGGCACAACAATTTAAAAAAATGTACCACGGGGGAAAAACCGCCACATACACGCACAACACACAAAACCAAACAACGAAAAGCCAACAACAACAAAAGCGGGTTGGAATCACTGTCAAAATCACTGTCAGCTTCGCTCGCCTCTCGCGTCTCAGCGAACAAAACGCCTAGCTAAGGCGACGAGGCGGCGGCGGCGGCGCCCGCAGCCGCCCGGACGGTCCGGGAGCCGAGCTGCTCCGACGTCCGGACCGACCTTCAACCCGGACACCCAAAGTCCGCGGACCACGGTAGCCGAGCTTGCGGCGGTGGCGGTGAGAGGCGGCGGCGGGAGACGGCGACAGGAGACGGCGGCGCAGGCGGCGGCCAAGTTCTGGTCCAGGCTGTGGCTCCGGCTCCGGCTCCAGCTCCCGGCTCCCGGCTCGGCCGCGTTTTCGGTCTCCTGGCCTCGGCCGGCCCCGCCCCCTACACTTCCGGTTCCGGCCCGAAGCTGGAAGCCAGGCGCGGCGGAGAAACGCTCCGCGGCGGCGGTGGTGGCGGCGGCGGGAGCGGCGGCAGGGCGCAGCGCGCGTGCCGGGCGGCGAGCGCGAGGAGATTGCCCGGGAGGCGGGGCGAGTCGGAGGGGCGGGGCGGGAGCTGGAGCGCGCTCCGCGAGGCCTGCCGGACCCGAGACCGAGCTGACGGGACGGCGGGCCCTGCGGGTGCCTGCCGCGACCACGAGTCGCCCGCCGTGCCCAGTGCGGTGCCCGCCCGGGCGCGAGAGCCGCGGCACCCGAGCGGGATGGGCGATGCCAAGGCCGACTGCGGCGCCCAGTCTTTCCTCTGGGGGACGCCGAGGCCGCGCCGAGCTGCTCCGAGTGGGCGGGAGCCGCACCCGCTGCTGCCCGAGCGAGCTCGGTGCTCGCGAGCCGGCCGCGCCCCCGCCGCGGAGGCCTCCCAACGTTTGTCTTTGGGCTTAAAAATAAAGGCAGGAAGGGCTGTCCGCCAGGTCAGGACACCCTCGCCAGTTAGCACTATGTGCGGTTCGGATCCTTTCCACCATACCTTGTATATACAAAGCATTGTGTTGCAAACAGGTTTGCTCCTAGTTGGCATGAAAGTCTGTATTAGACTTGAAGTGAAAACCGCAGATTTCAACGTATTGGACGGTCAGAGACGTGGGTATTAGCAATTCTTAGCCTCTTATAAGACGTCTTTTTACCCCGTAAGCCATGTTGAACTGCTTACCGGGTGTTCAGTTAAGTACCGAAACAAATACAAAATGTAAAAATGTGAACCCTACCTCCAGAAGCTCGGCTATTTGGGATATTAGAAGTTAGCTATAGCGTGCAAAGAATGATTGTTAGAGTCAACACGTCTGCCATTTACCACAATTCAGTATAATAAAGGGGAGATCTTGTCCTTTTTTTCCACTTTATTCCAGCACTCTGAAGGTTTTGACAGGAATCCTTCCTCAGTAGATACGTAAATACCTAGAGGTTTGCCTTTTTTGCTTAATATAATAACTTCTGTGTACTATACAGTGTTTGGAGATTTATTTTAAATAAAAAAAGGAAGCAACTGTGGGATGGGTAATTAATGTTTTAGTGTACACTGATTCCCACATTTTTCCACAAACTCACTTGTATTTATGTTTTCTTTTTCTCGTCCTATAAACTGCTCTATATTTCTGTCTATTAAGTACATCCTATAATTATCTGCCTATTTCTACTACTTGTCAGGGTTAATAATCATTGTGGCTCTTTAAACTCTCTCCAAGATTTCCAGTTCTCAAGCCCTGCTCAGAATTTGATGGTATTATGCAACAAAATCCCAAACTGGTCTTCAAGATGCCTCAGTAATCGAATGTACTTCTGCAAACATTCTAAGCTGGACGAAAACTAAGAGTTGCCACTAACAGTCCTAAAATAGAAGAGTGGTGTTTACTTTAGAACCAACTGCCCTCCTTTCTCCCAAGGATTTGATGGATCAGGCCCTACTGTTGTCTTGTCACTACATTGTCTCGATGTTTCTTCATTGCTAAAAACAGAGCAAGTAAAATAACAAGAGCTGCACATACAGTCTTCTCTTGCCTCCTAATTTGCCATATGAGTGGACATAAAATTATTTTCTATAGTAATAAAGGAGAACTTCAAGAAAATTCCGAATTAGAGCATTTTTGCTAACAAAGAGTTAAACCCATGGGAGAATTAGTGACATCCAGTAACAACAGCTATACATTCCTGTTCTTAAATGTTCTTCAGGGAGGTACCAGGATAGGATCTTGTGGTGCTTAAGGTAGCTTTGAACTCCCTAGATAGCCTAAGATGACCTTGAACTTCTGAACCTCCTGCCTCTACTTTGCAATTGCTGCAATTATGGACATGCACTACGGAGTTGCATTTATGTGGTCCTGGCGATCCAACTTAGAACCTCATGCATGCTTAGCCAACAAATGCGCTCCATCCAGAGCGCAGCATGTCCTTTTATTTTAAACCAGAAATAGTGGCTTAAAATGATAGTGTTATCAATCCCCACTACAGTTCCAAAGCTCACACTGAAAATAGAAATAGCTGAAATTATTAAGTCTGCCCTTTTTCCTCCATATTACTTATTTTTGACAAATTCTGCAAATGCTATGCATTTTGGTCATAGCCACCCCTAATGCTCCCCTCCCAGTACTCCCAGAGCCCCTTAGTAAACACCTCTCCCACATTCATGTCTTTTTTTTTTTTTTTTTTTTTTTGGTTTTTCGAGACAGGGTTTCTCTGTGTAGCCCTGCCTGTCCTGGAACTCACTCTGTAGACCAGGCTGACCTCAAACTCAGAAATCCACCTGCCTCTGCCTCCCAAGTGCTGGGATTAAAGGCGTGCGCCACCACTGCCCAGTGTCTTTTTTTTTTTTTAAAATATAGCCCAACTGAGTCCAGGTAGTGCTGCCTGCATAAGTCTGGGTGATCTACCCATAGCCAAATCCTTGAAGAAAAATGACTCCCCCCTCTTCCCAGAACCCTTCAGTTGCCAATGGCTTCTTAGCTAAGGCCTTGTGAGACTCTTCCCCCATCAAGATGGGAATTGCTGCCTGATCTTGCCAGAGTTACTGTAGCTCCTCTGACTCCATGCCATGTTCAAAAGATAGTATTTCTTTCACAGCGCTCCATCCTCTGGCTGGAACTTTTCTCCCATGCTCCATGGTGTTCCTTGAGCTTTATGGGTTGATCTAGACGTCCTATTTAGGGCTGAGCACCCAACAGTCACTTGCTCCTCAGTACTTGGACTAATTACAAGGCTCTGCCTTGACTGCTGCCGACTGCAAAGGGAAACGTTCCTGGCCAAGGTTGACAACAGCACTAATATATGAGTATAACCAAATACTTAGAAGGCAGATTGACAACATTTCTGTCTAACAAAACAACAGCAGTAGGTTCTCCCATGACAGTGTGTGTCCTTCCCGGGCCATGACTAGTTTGCAGTACTAGACATTATTTCAGTGGTTCTCAGCCTTCCTAATGCTGCCACCCTTTAATGTAGTTTCTCATGTAGTGGTGACTCTCAACCATATAATTATTTTTGGTGCTACTTCATAAGTGTAATTTTGCTACTGTTATGCATTGTAATGTCAATATCTGTGTTTTCCAATGGTCTTAGGCAAACCCTGTGAAACAGTTGCTCCACCCCAACCCCAAAGAAGTCACAACCCATAGGTTGAGAAATGCTGAATTTATTTGTGTGGAACAGACCTCAGATCCAATAAGAAAGTGGCTGGTCATCTTCCTAATGTTTATGCCACTATTGCAGTATACATCTTGCCTAGGAGGTCAGTAATGCAACATTTAGGGTCCACTGTTGGGTAACATTATTGATGAATTTTTGCCCCAGGTAGCCTGCGTAGCACCTTCTGGCACTATGAAAAACAGCTGGGGGATAGTTTACAGATCAGTTCCAGCTTGATTTCTCTATGTCTTATAACCAAACTGTGTTGTGTCTTTAACTATAGGGTCAACAGCAATAGCCTATATTGTTTAGGAGGCCTCTATGGCCTGGCCCATAACATGTAAGGAAGTATCCCATAGTGAACACTGAGATTTTTTCATTTATTGACCCATGTTTTCTGGGGAAAGCAATGTTCACTTCTACACTGTACTGGTGTTCAAACTCCTTCTTTAAAATTCAGTTGTATCTCTGCTCTTCCTGGTTACAGAGACAGCCACATCTTCTTGTGCAATGCCAGCCTCATCCCTGAAACATGATGGTGATGGTCAAAATGAGCCGATTTGACCATATTGGATGCCTCATTACCAGGCCTGCCTTTAGTAGCCAGTAGTAACTGCCTTTCTAGCAAAGTGGATGTTGTTGCCATCAGTGACCCCTTCATTAACTTCAAATACATAGTCTACATGTTCCAGTATGATCTACCCACCACAAGTGCTACAGAGGAAAGCCTTCTCCATCTTCCAGGAGCAAGATCATACCCACATCAAATGTGATGCTGGTGCCAGGTATATTATGGAATCTATTGGTGTCTTTGCCACCATGGAGAAGGCTGGGACCTACTTGAAGGATGGCACCAAAAGGATCATCATTTTCCCCCTTCTGCTGATACCCCATGTTTGTCATGGGTATGAACCAAAGAAGTATGACTATGTACTCAAGATTGTCAGCAATACTTCCTGTACCACAAACTGCTTCCCACCATACCCCAGCCAAGGTCACCCATGACAACGTTGGCATTATGGAAGTACTCATGACCACAGTCCATTAAATCAAGAAGATTGTGGATGGCCCCACCAGGAAACTGGTGTGATGGCTGTGGGGCTGCATCCACTGGTGCTGCCAAGGCTGTGGTCAAGATCATCTTAGAGCTGAGCAGGAAGCTCACTGCCATGGCCTTCCATGTTCAGACTGCCAATGTGTGCATCATAGATCTGACATGTTGCCTGAAGAAACCTGTCAAGTACAATGACATCAAGAAGTTAGTGAAGAGCCACTAAAAGGCCCACTAAAGGGTATCCTGAGCTACACCAAAGACCATATTATCTCCTGTGACTTTAATAATAAAGCCCACTCTTCCACTTTTGATGCTGGGGCTACCATAGCTTTGTAATGACAATTAAATGACAACTTCATAAAGCTTATTTCCAGGTATGACAGAGTAAACTACATTAACAGGATGGTGGACCTCCTGGCCTACACAGCCTCCAAG